TTTCTTTCTTAGAAGTTTACAAAACTTCTTCATGACAAGCTTGACTTCATCATCGTCGCTTGAGTCATTCATCGTTGGTTCTTTGAAGGCTTTTAATGCTATGCCTTTCCTTTGGTCATTCAAAGACGGGTTAAGTATAGTAGATTCATAGGTTTTTAAGTTACCTCTTAAACCGTCGATGGTGACATTTGATGTGCCGATTGACTCATAGATGGCATCGGCCTTAGATCGTCATTCGGATGTCAAGCTCCGTAGGATCTTTCGCACAAGATCCCTGTCGGTGTAAGTCTTCTTCAATGCATGAAGATCGTTGACTATCTTGGAAAATCGGTCGAACATGTCGTCGATCTTCTCGTGCTCCTTCATCCTGAACATCTCATATTCTTGGGTGAGGAAGTCAATCTTGGCTTCACGTACTTGGTCCGTTCCTTCGTACGTCACCTCAAGTTTATCCCACATCTCCTTGGCGGTTGAGCAGCAGGAGATCTTGCGGTAGTCATCAGGATTTACGACACAATAAAGCATATTTATTGCCTTTGCATAATTCTCGACCTTTTTGATGTCCTCGGCATCAAACTTGTCTTCGGTCTTGGGGATCAACTTGTCGCCAACTTTCTTCATTGGCACCTCTTCCCCATTTTTGATAACCAACCATAATTGGAAGTTCGTGGAACGAATATAGATTCTCATTCGTTCTTTCCAATATGTATAATTGGAAGAGGTGGCCGTGTGGTTGATTGCCCTTCACTTATTCCTGCATACAAATTTCTAGAACAAGAACCCATGATCGCTTTTCTCTCAAACGGTTAAGTTTGGACGCGAGTTAGGCTCTGAAACCAATTGTTGGAATAAGTGACCAACGCTAGAGGGGGGGTGAATAGCGTTTGATCGTAGAAATCGCAGGAATAAAAAAATTAAGAACGTGAAAAGTAAAGAGCGTAGAAAGCGTAAAGGGAGCACACCAAGATTTATACTGGTTCACCACAACGTGTGGCTAATCTAGTCTCCCGAGAGACTCTCTCGAGCTAAACTACTTCTGTTAAGCATACGGGTGCTTAACAAACCGTTACAACCTGAGAACTCGAGTCCCACGAGCCTCAACAACCTTGCTCGGAGATGCCGCACTCCAAGACTTCAACCCGAAGGAAAATACTTTTCCTTCGTACAACTAGGGGAAACAAGCTTCCCTTAACGTGTATACAACACTAAGACACTCAAGAACAAGACTCTCCTTAAGAGTGGATATGAGTAAAGTATATACGCTCAAGAACAACTCAAACTTCACACAAATTGGCTCTAGAAAGCTATGGAGAATAATGTGATTTGGATGCAATGATAATATGAATATTGTGAAGTGAATTGATTGGAAAAGCAGACCCAAACACCCCTTTTTATAATGCCAAAGTAGGCTCTAACGGATCAAAACATTTAAGGGATGATTGGCTTGATTTATGGGATTGATTAAATTTGGGATCTGCAGGATATTGGCTTCCCATCGATGTTTGGAACTTACCCATCGCTGGTAAGCCAATTTTCCTTCAGTTTTGAAGCCAACGGTTACCTACCCATCGATGGGTAGATGCTTCCCATCGCTGGGTGGGAGGTTGACTTTCAAATAAGGAAAGAATCAGCCTTAAATGACTCGCAACGGTCATGCCTAA